GGCCAAACTCCTGCTTGGGCTGCGGTCCCCGAATTGAAGGTGACGGGCGGCGGGGCTTTGTTCGATAGCCAGTGCAGCCAAGCGCTTGCTTGGGCTGTGAGGTCTGGGCCGAAAGTGGCGTGCGGCGGGGCTGTGATTGGCGGTGGAGGCGGCCAAGTGCTTGCTTGAGCTACGGGCCCCGGCGTTGTCGGAGTAGAAGCCGCGGTGCGAGGCTGAGCTGCGGTCGATGTCGCATGCACCCTTGCGGCGGCGGGATCCGGGGCGCGGTCCAGGCTTGCTGATGGCCTGACGCCGCGGCTTGAAGATCGCGGAGAGCTGGGCCTTGCGCGAGAGGAAGATGGTGGAGTCCGGTGAGGCGTATCTGGAGGTTTGTCTTGCCTTTTGCCCTTTTTTGGGGTTGGGGTGGACTCGGGAGAGAGGTTAGTTAGATGCAGATTTGTGTACAAGTCATATAATTCTGCTTTGTTCAACTTGCATGAAGGTTGGATGTCGGATTTGGTCAGCGCTTGCCTCAGACTCGACACGGTCCACTTTCCTATTGGTGGAATCGTTGGCCTGGCCGAGCGATAGGAGGACGCCGGGGAGTCGACTGGGGTTCTCGCCGGAGGTGGCGAGGGTAGGCCTAGGCGTATTGGGATGCGAGTAGCTGCTCGAGCCGAACCGCGTCCGCGAGATGGGGCCTGGGGCTCGATTGAGGTGCTACTCCGAGGAGGAGTGGTCTTAGGGCCGGCTGGTTGTGGCGATGGGACCGGAGGAGAGTTGGATTCATCTTCAGACGAGGAGGTTTATTTTTGCGACATGGTTGTAGACGAGCGAACCAAGATGCTGATAAGCGTCAATGGATAGAGGTAAGTCAGTTGTATTTATATCATGGTGTTGATTAACTTGAGTGCACTCCACCTGTGTTAATTAGGCTAAGTATCTGACGCGCTCCTCCCGAACCTTGTTAATAAAACATAATTTATTTTCAACTATATTTGATGTGTGCCATTGAGTGACATCACAAGCAGATGAAAGCCTTTATTATTAATACTATTATATCCAGACCCGTTTAGACTATTCCCTTTGAACGCTAATTGCATTTTAAATGCAAGCAAAGATTGCATTTAAGCGGCTAATGATGCGGAGTGTGTTGTCCTGTGCTTCCACCTGCAGCGGGCTTGAATGTGTTTCTGTGGAAATCTCAGCTGGCGGGGAGAAAACGCCCATTACTGTCAGAAAGCTGTCAGGCTTTACTCCTATTACAGCGCTGCTATAGACCGCTCACCGCCTTCCCATGCCGAAGGGATTTCTTTGGCCGGTATAGGATGTTCTCGCTCTTCTATCTGTATTTCTGCATCAATATATCCATCCTCTCTTCTTTTGTTCTGCAGGTCTGAGTGGGAGGTTTCTGGTTACAACACTGCCGACTATATTTCAGTAAGTCCTCAGATGGCTGAATTTATATGCCCTCAGGTGTTATGACAAAACTGGCTTTCAAAACGTTCTTTTAGGTTCTGTTTTTTTATTAAAAATAGCATGTATCAATTTCAAGTATAATATTGAACAACACATCTCATCCACAGCGCTAAAGATGGAAATTTCCGCAAATATGTTTCATCACGGACTATTGAGGATATCCAGGCGTATGTTGAGCAGAAAAAGTGGGCGATGGTTGAGCCGGTGCCAGGATGGAAGTCGCCACCCTCTCTTCTGTAAATACAGCCTTTTCTGTCTGGAAAAAAAAGGGCTGATGTGTTTGCTTACTGTATAAAATTAAGTTGTTCGAATTGAATACATTTTGTATATACTGTAACTCCTTGCTTAAAACCATTTTATTCTTTTACAGAATGTCAGGAATGGCTAATCTGTTTCGTGTTTCCGTGTGTATCAGAGTAAGAAATATTTTGCAGTTTGATCTGTGGTATTGTCTTTAAAAAAGCCAAAAAAAAAATTTGCAAAAAATTTGATGTATAAAAGTAACAGATTTGGAGAAATGTAGCACTGCATCACTTGCTCAGCAATGGACCCTCTGCAGTGAATGGGTGCCGTCAGAATGAGAGTCCAAACAGCTGATAAAAACATCACAATAATCCAGAAGTAATCCACACCACTCCAGTCCATCAGTTAACATCTTGAGAAGACAAAAAGCTGAAACAAATCCATCAATAAGACATTTTTAACTAAAATCCAAGTCCATAATCCATAGTAATGCTTCCTCCAGTGAAAAAGTGTTCTGGTGTGAATCAGGAGAGAAATCTGCACAGATCAAGCACCGTTTACAAGCCAAAACAGCTCTAAACAAATGTATGGATGGATTTTGATGTGAGACAACAGGACTTTTTCATTGGAAGAAGTGTTATTATGGATTATGGACTCTTATTTTAGCAACGGTTGAAGATCAAAACATCTTAAAGATGGATTTGTTTCAGCTTTTGTCTTTTCAAGACATTAGTTGATGGACTGGAGTGGTGTGGATTACTTGTGGATTACTGTGATGTTTTGATCAGCCGTTTGGACTCTCATTCTGACGGCACCCATTCACTGCAGAGGATCCATTGGTGAGCAAGTGATGTAATGCTACATTTCTCCAAATCTAATGAAGAAGCAAACTCATCTATATCTTGGATGGCCTGAGAGTGAGTACATTTTCAGCAAATTTTCATTTTTGGGTGAAACCTGTCAAGTCTGAATTTGATCTTGTCATTTTGTATTAAATATATTCCCATTTTGTCCATTCAACAAAGCAAATCCACACGTACCTGACGAATACGCTCGGTATCCCTTGCTGGGGCTCTTACGTGATTTTTGCCATCATTACGCTCTTTATGGGACTGATGCTCGGCCTGGTGAGTTTAAAAACATAATTTTCACAGTTTAGATGGGTTAATGTATTATTCATGCTCCAAGCCTAAAGTGAAATGCTTTACTCTTTGCATGAAAGTATCTCATGCATAAATATTACTGCGGACGGAGCATCCGTGCTACAGATCTAAAAAGACCATTTACCAAAGGAAGCCAACAAAGTGCACTTGACTTCATCTGATGCAAGAGCTCTATGAAGCAGATCGCACAGACTGTACAGATACATGATGACTTGAATTATATAATAAAGTTTGAAAAAGAAGTTCCTACATTATACAACGGCGAGTTGTGTAACACTGGTCGATTCTGTGGCTCTTTTGAGGATCCGGTGGGTGGTTCTCGCATGTAGTGGATCAAACTTTCAAAAGTGAACTTCAGCTGCTGGGTTTGAAATAATTACTCAGTCTAATGGTAAATATATCTCAATTAGATGCTGGTTTTGATCGCTGACTGCATTTGGCCGTCCAGACCCAAGCACAGAGAAGACAAAACAGGTGAGATTAGAAACACACTTATTATTTACTCTGCACTAATTATCTGAATTATGTTTAATTTTACTTAAAATATTACAATGTAGCATAATGTTATTTGAAACTTGTATCACTGCTTATTGCACCTTATTTTTGGTATCACAATTATTTAACATTAGTTAATACATTTACTAAATTGCATTAACTAACAATTAGGCTGTATACATTTGGTACCGTATTTATTAATGATAATGTTCATTAATAAAATACAACTGTACATTGTTGGTTCATATTAGTTCAGCTGCATTAAATATGAACAGATACAACTTTTTATTTTAATAAAGTATTATTAACACTTTAAATAGGAACTCATTCACAGAAATTAATTGAAATACTGTTGCTTGTATTTTAAAATGTTAGTGAAATCATTGCAAATATATTTTGAATATTTAATGCCCAGTTTCAGTGTTATATTTTACATTTTCATTTAAATTTTTGTTAAAATTTTTTTGTCTATATAGTTTGATAATTTTTTTTATTTCAGTTTTGATTTTAGCTATTTTAGTACATTAAGTTAAACTAAATAAAAAATGTTTCATTTTAAGTTGACGTTTATATATATATATTTTTTAATAACAGTTTACTTGAGTAGTTTAATTAATAACTCAGTCCAGTTCAACTTTACTTGGTCAATAAACTCAAGAGGTGTTATTGAACATTCTGTAATATAGTGAATACTGAATCATTTCCATCTTTGTGTCTGTGCAGTTGTGATATTGAAAGAGGAAGTGTCAGAGGAAGAGGTGGAGGACATCCTCATGGAAGAAAAAGGCACATTTGACCTGGACAACGAGAGCAAGCGAGTGTCTGGAGACGAGTCGACCGAAGAGGAAGGAGCGATGAGCGACGGAGCCGCCGCTGGCAGTGATCAGCCTCCGTCAGAGGGGGCAGCAGAGAGTTCAGTGAGGAAACGCAAACCACAGGCGCAAAACACTACTGAGGGAAGATAATGTCACTGCATAACACCACTGCGGTCGCCACCAAAAACAAGAGGAAACTGCCATATCTGTAGGATATGCCAAGCAGCGCCAGCTATCGGCTGATTTCTGCATCATGCATGCAGACCGTGGTTTGTCCATTCAACACTTTCCTTGCATTTTACCTGCTTCTCGCTGCGGTTCAATTCAATTTCGTTTTTAAGAGTAGTTGCTTAAATTTATTGCTGAAAGTTTGATGCCAAACATTGACAGACCTTCTTTAAAGGTGGGGTAAGTGATTTCTGGTACACTGTAAAAAATGACCGTGAATTTAACGGTAAAAGACTGTAAAAATGCTACAGTAAAAACCTGTTAAATGGTTAACGGTAAATTCCCCTACTATATATGGTGAAAAACTGTATTGGACATTACATGTATTGGACATTAATTTTATGGTAGTATACTGTTTTTGGAAGTGAAAAAGACCGTATAATTTACAGTGAATAACCGTAAATTGACATTACAAGAATTCCCTGCGTTACATTTCAAATTTGATGTTTTTTTGTTAAACTAAGAAGAAACATATATTAACATTATATCAGTTAATGAAATTACGGTATTTAACTGTAAACTTAAGTTAAAACCTAAAACGTTGCTACCACAGCTGCCGGTTTTTTACCGTAAATTTTACGGATTTTTTTTTTTACAGTGTAGCCAATGTTGATATTTCAAATCACCAAAACAAACATGCCCCTACCCCAAAAGGGTCGCGTCCGTATTTTGATAGCTCCGCCCCACACATACGTACGCAACCCAGGCAACGATTGGCGGAATCTGCTGTGCCAGCCGGCCGAGGGTATGTCATCAATAAGTGAAAGCAATGTGTGTTACTATGGTAATACATGTTTTAATGTGAATATACGTGTTTTAACCCCGCATCATGAGTAGACGCCCCTTACTGCTGATTGGCTACAAGTTTGTTTTGGTACTCGGCCCGAGTCAATTTTCTAAAGCGTTTTTGATAAAATACATACCCCACCTTTAACATTTAATTTTATATTTTCCATAAATGGCAAAAATATAAATGCGCATAATTTTAGAATAATTTTAATGCTGAAGCTATGAATACAAAAATGTTTACGATGTATTAGGATGAATCTCTCAAAAAAAGGGAAAAAAAAAAACCTGGCTTATATTTCACCTAAAAAACCGAAAGAAAAAAATACAACCTGTTAATAAATAATTAACGTTACATTGTTCATGCTGATTAAGCACATACAGTATCACATGATCCCTCAGAAATCATTGTAATGAAGGATCATGTGACACTGAAGACTGGAGTAATGGTGCTGAAAATTCAGCTGTCCATCAAAGGCATAAATTACATTTTAAAAGATATTAAAATATAAATCAGTTATTTTAAATGATAATAATATTTCACAATATTGCTATTTTTACTATAGTTTTAATCAAATAAATGCAGCCTTGGTGACTTCTTTCGAAAACATTAAAAGATCTTAGTTATTACAAACTTTACACAGTGATGTAATGTATTTAAATATTAAAATATTTATGTATCATGGTAGTATTTGTTGTACAGCCTCGATGATTTAATTTTTTTTTTTTAATTAAACTGTATAACTAATTTTTCTTTGTGACTTGTGACTCTATCTTTGCTGCAGTATCCTGTTTTATGCTGTAATGTAGTACAAAAATAGTGTTATAGGTATGAAAACAAATGAAAATTACAGAACTTTAAAAAAATACTGATGCATTACAATAATGAGAATTCGGGAGAAATGTGCTTAATTGTCATGAAAATGTCACAATGCAAAACTTATTAAAACTTTTTTTGAATTATTTTGGAGTGAAATATGAATGACATGTTCTTAACAGGTTGAATGAGATTCATGCATGACAGTTGTTTTACCATGATTCCTTAATTGTTCTATAATTGCTGTGATGATAAATGCTTCCATGTTTATGTTTCACATTCCTGTGCCACAACTCAAACCCGACTGTTTTCAGAAGGAAATGTTCTTAAAGTATGATAAATATGAAGAGTATTTTTGCACTATTGCATTCATCCACACATGATGCATATAGTGTTGAATAGCACAAACGGTCCATACCCATAGTTATCATATTATCAGAGGATGCTTTGCGTACCAGGTCTCAGGATAAGTATTTCTCAGTGGTATGATGTTGTTTTGTACGGTGTAGATTTGTAGTGTATTCCCTGTAATTGCAAATTGAATTTAGAATTTGCACAATAAAACGTTGACTATGTCTTTGGTATTAAAATCGGTGCAGTCTTTGACTGACGGCTCGACGGTCAATTGCCTTTCATTTTTATACTATGGACAGACTGTTTGAATCTGTGTAGCAAATAAATATTGCTAAATCTTTTATAAGCTGTAACCAGCAAAGAAACACACCAGCACATCTGTTCAATGTTTCTGTGTCATTTATCATATGCTGAACATCGATTGTCAATTTCATTGTATTGTGTGACAGATATTGTTAATATTGTGTAAGCGGTCCATAACTGCTGAGTTTGTGTGTTCATTAAATAGTTTGACTTGATATGAAGTGTTTTGGATTTTAGTTTGTCATGTCAGCATTAAAAATGTTTTGGGTTCAAAAAGAAAGAAAAAAAACAGCATCTAAACATGCGTCAATTACTACAGACAATTTCAGTTTGTAAAACCAAACAAACATTGCATTTACCCCAGTGCAGTGTTTTGCCCATTAAATTACTGCAAGAAACTACATGCAAAAATATTTTTTTCAGGCACTGGTCAGTTCTGAGATTTTGAGTTGTTTGGCTTTCCATAATGTGTTGTTTCAGATTAATGGAAAGAAAACCTCCAAAATGCACATACAATTACTACTCTAAACATACAATTACTACAGACAATTTCAGTTTTTAAAACCAAACAAACATTGCATTTACCCCAGTGCAGTGTTTTGCCCATCGCATTACTGCAAGAAACTACAGGTAAAAAAAAATTCCAGGCACTGGTCAGTTTTGAGATTTTGGACTGCTGGCTTTCCATAACGTGTTGTTTCAGGTTAATGGAAAGAAAACCTCCAAAATGCACTTTTAAGTGTTCCTTTTATTGCACTTTATCTATCTGCATCTTCAATTATAATACATATTTTTAAAAAGCGTGTTCTCAAAATGAGTTTTTCTCCCCTTCTTACCCCACTTACAGTTTCCTTCCTATATATATATATATATATATATATATATATTCTGAAGGTTTTTATAGAGCAGTTTGTTCACACATAATTAGATTTTTTTTGATAACACTTTATCTATTTGCATCTGTAGATTTCAGTTATAATACATATTTTTCTAAAAATTAGTTTTCATCCTCACTTCAGCAGCACTTACACTAAAACTTACAGTGTTATTCCTATCTATATTCTGAAGGATTTTATGGAGGATTTGTTCATATATCATTTGCCTGATTTTGTACTTTTTTTTTTCCCCTAAAAATGTTTTTCTGTCAACTGTATTTTCTGATTCACGGATTGATGAAAGAGATCCTCCAAAATCCCCTCTGTAAAATGTTTAACTCTAGTATATCAGCAAAATGAAACAAGAATTTAGAACCTGTCTTTATCCAATGTTTAGATTTATTTTCTGGAGAATGTATGCAAATTAGTGTATATTTAAACATCTCACATATTATAAACATATAACATTTTTTATTTAATTTTTTTGCATTTCTTAATGCAATCAACTAGGTAAGTATGGTGATTTCAATTAGTTTTTACCCTATTAAAGCAGACATCTGGAGCAAGAAACTGGAATAACCATTACAAGTCACAGTTTTGAAACCATCACTACAAGATATAAACATTATATGTTCAAAAGATACAAGAAAGATGACTGTTTGAATAGAAAAAAAAGTTGACCTAAAGTTACATAACATGGGTCAGTTAGTCCTAGTCCGTTGAACCACATAACTACACCATTCATCATTCTGCTGTCAAAAACCATATTATTACTTTGATGAGCATTCAAAAGTAGCCATGTACAGCTTTTAGTAATTAACTATAGTTTTCAAGCAACATGTAAATCTGAAGTATTTCGTCATTGTAGGACTCTTAAAAATGTCAAATGGGCTTACATTGTTTCCCATCTGCTGTTGTTGACATCACACTACTGAAGGTTTGAGACTGTGTTCATGTTCATCAGTTCATAACAAGATGACAGATTTAATTTCACATACAGTACGCCTCACTGAGCCGCTGAGCTGAATAGGAATGCAAACATAAAACTGAAACTAACGTGCAAGAAAGGTTGATATGCAGTTAGTGTTTGTGTAGACCAGGGCTATCCAAACTCGGTCCTGGAGGGCCGGTGTCCTGCAGAGTTTAGCTCCAACTTGCCTCAACACACCTGAATGGAAGTTTCTATGCCTAGTAAGAGCTTGATTAGCTGGTTCAGGTGTGTTTAATTAGGGTTGGAGCTAAACTCTGCAGGACACCGGCCCTCCAGGACCAAGTTTGGACAGCCCTGGTGTAGACAGTCAAGCCTGAAGCTCCCAGCACGCACTCTTTAATCAAACACACCTGATTCAACTCATCAGGATTATTAGAGACTCCAAGACCTGAAATAGGTCAGAAAATGGAAAGAATTCATAAAAAAAAAAAAACTACAAACTTCATGTATAAACTAATTAAAACTAAAACTAGATGCATAAAATAAAATCTGTTACTTGAAATTAAATAAAATATAAGAAAACTTATTTTATGTCAACAAGTTGCCAAGGCAACGTTTCTCATTTTATTTAGTTTAACTTGATGTCCTAAAATAACTAAAACTGAAACCTAAAAACCTATATAGACATTAAAAAAAGCTAATAAAAATGACAAAACAATACAATTGTAAAAATATAAAAATAAATAGTCAAAAAATAATAAATACGTGAATAAAATGTATCTCCAACGTAGCATTTTTAATGAATGTTGTAATACTGAAGAAGAAAAAACATCACCAGACATATTCCTCCTTCAATAGTGGTTAAAAGCAAAGCATGAAGCTGGTTGATGAAAGTGCAGATTGAACAGAGCTGGAAAATAGGAGCTGTTTCATTTGTGTCACGTTATCCTTACTATACTTACAGTTTTTATGAGTTGATTTTCATGGAAATTGGTAAAAGTGGGACAAGAGTCATTTAAACCAATGTTTCAAAGGAATGAGCATGTGATAGTTAGATGTGTGTGGTGTGTGAGCAGCTGTTGTGAAGCTCTGCAAAGCTGTTACGTAAAGCTGCAGAGGAGGCTGAGAGGAGACGCACATCTCCACATCCTACACACGCTGAAGTTTGAGCTGGAGGAGAAAATACTGCCGTGATCTACACTCACGCAAGAGAGAATCTCACGAAACATGTCTGTAATATATTCCACCCCAAGAAATTGCATTTTGTCGACTGAATGAAGCCTAAATTCGTGACCTTTAAGACACTGTTACATTATCTGATGATAGTTAAGCCAAAAAAAGTATATAAAAAAAAAAACGTTTAATTATTTATTAAAAGTTTAATTATTTAGGACCATAAATACATTATATTACATTATTTGATGACAATTAAGCAGAAAAAAATGTAAAAACAACAACAAGACTTAAAAAGTAATTGTAATTATTTAAATTAATAGAACAAAATAAATTAACAGAATAAAACGAAATAAAATATATAAAATATAAGTGATAATTATTATTATAATAATTATAATTGATTAGAATTATAAATTAATATATAAGCTCATTACTAATATATATATATATATATATATATTTTTTTTTTTTATTTTTATTTTTTTCCTGTAAAACATTTAATCCTAACCATAATTAATTAAATTAATAGAATAAAAATACATTGATAGAATAAAAATGTAAATATTTATTATTAACAATAATAATTATGATTCATTATATTATATTAATTATATTATATTATATTAATAATTCTAATTAATAATTATAATAAATGATAACTATAATAATTATATATTAAGATTAATTAAATCAACATTTGCATCATGGTAGTAATCTTCTTTTTTTTTTTGCTGATTTAAACAAACAAACATCTGGATGCATGACAATTACCTTAGAGAATAATAAATACAAACAATAAATACAAACAAATTAACAAAATTAAAACATCCCGATGCATTACCGTAAGGAACATTTGGGGTCAAAATATGCTTTATTGTCAAGAAAATAATGTCACAATAATATTATAAATTAATCATTTTCTTTATGAAAAATGTAATTTATTTTTTCTCTTTTGACACAAGTACACATTGTTCTTCTCATGTTTCTGTCATATGCAACTGCTAATTCTCTGTATAATGAGTCATTTTAATGTAAATCTTTTTATTTGACATTACGCACAGACGATATTGATTTTTACTCAGTTGTGTGTTGGTTGTTCACATATTTTTGAGGAGAAGCCGCTATAGCTGTGACGGGGCAAAGGGACCGATGCTGGATAAACATTAGTTGAAAGACTGCAGAAAGTTAACTTGAGAGAGTTAATGATTGATCAGTGGCTCTCTGATCCTGGTGAAATCCAACTGGCTGAATCAGTGGAAACATGTCAGACTCGCTGGTGTGTGTCAGTGATTATGAGCGTCAGGCTCAGACACTTCTACCAAAGCCAGTGTTTGATTATTATTTCTCAGGAGCAGACGAGCAGCAAACTCTGCGTGATAATGTAGCAGCGTTCGCCAGGTATGTGACCGTTCATCATCATATGAACAGCATTTGATCTGACAAGCTTTTATGATCGGGTTAGGAAAGTGTCTGCTAAATGAACAACACAATGACAGTTAAAAAAAGAACCAACTATTATCTGATAGCAACAAAGACATCTTATATTGGAGACTGGGGCTAGTTGTCACACTCAAGGGTTTGATATATGAATTTTGTTTTTATTTTTTTTATTTTTCTCCGAAAATAATAAGATAAAAAGCAACATTATTGCATACTAAGTAATAATTTTGAGATAAAAGAGATAGAAATTAGATCATGGTTGAAATTATGACATAAAAAGTTAAAATGATTACAAAGTCAGAAAGTATGAGATAAAAAGTCAACATTATGACATACTAAGTCATTAATATGAGATAATAGAGATAAGAGTGAGATCAAGGTTGAAACTGACATAAGATGTCAAAATTATGAAATACTAAGTTATAATAATGAGATTAGTGATAAAAATGACGTCAAAATTCACGTAAAAAGTCATTAATGAAATTTTTTTTAAATTATGACATACTAAGTCATAATTATGAGATAAAAAGACAAAATCATGACATGCTAAGTCATAACTGAAATAAAGAGATAAAAATTAGACAAAAGTTTAAATTACAACATAAAGACAAAATTATGACAAAAAGTTGAAATTGACATACTAAGCCATAATTATGAGATAAAAAGTTGTCATAATTATGATTGTTGAAACTACTACAAAAGTTGAAACTACTGTATGACATAAAAAGTCAAAATAATTACATAAAAAGTCAAAATTATGACACTTTAAAAAAACTATTCTAAAATAGTATGACTTGTGTTTGACTTTTTAATCACATAATTTATATTTTTTAAACTTTTTCCAAAGCATGACTTTTTTTTGGGGCAGAAAAAAAATACTTTTACTGTTATCACACACACACACACACACACACACACACACACACACACACACACACACACAGTTAATTGAACACATACAATGGGGCATGTTGTCACGCAATATGAGGGAATGTACTCACAATGAAAATCTGCTGTTTAATCAAATTCTTTTAACGATTTGTGAAGAACACCTTTTCTTGAAATATGAATATCTTGAAATATGAACTATAACTGTCTATAAACCCTATTCAGAATCATCAAGCTACTGTATATGCAAAAGTTCAGTAAGAAAAATGAAACAATGTTAAAAAACAGCAAACAGTTAATAACACAGAACTCTGGCAAATTGCTTTCAAAGTCATGAAGTAAACAGCATGAGTCAGTCTACAATCGTTTGAGTCAGTCTATTACAACGTTGACAAGAATTACACTTCTTCTGAATGTTTTGGCCTAATTTTAGACAGTCTCTGGGTTGTGTGGGGTCAGTTATAATTATGTGCGTTTATCTTGGCCTGGAGCGTTCGTGTGGGTGGGCAGACGGACCTTAGAGACCTTAGCACGGCCTTACAGCAGTGTCAGCAGAGGCTCTGTCCAGATGAATAATGCCACTCTAGTACTCATACATATATATTGGTCATATATGCATATTTATAAAATGTGCAAACAAGACATCCTTCCAGGTTACAGACACGCGTTGTGAAAGTTAAGTGAGCTGCGGTCAGACGACTCAATGAGTCACGAAATAAACGCAAATATTAACACAAAATCGAGTGACCGTCGGGGGTGAAGTCATATGCTACAGGAAAAAACAAACAAACATTTCATCTATTTATAAATATGGTTTCCACAATCAGTAGCTAGTTGCAATTGCATTTCTTAATTGTTTTATTGAATATATTTAGCTGAAAATGCCTTTACAAATGCAAATGTTGATTTATTTTATTATTGTTTTTTTTAGTATAGAAACCAAACTTTGCAAATTAATGAGCCAAGACTATCAAAATATACATCATTTAATTGTTCTAGGATTTTTAGAAGAGTTTTTTTTTTTTAAAGAAGTATAACAATTAACTTTAGACTGTATTTCATGTATCAACAGGTTTGCATACCCCCTATAATGGGACAACATGCCCCACTGTAGTTGAGGTCTCTTTTAGTCAAGACTTTAAGGTTTGTGTAAAAAAAAAAAAAAAAAAAAAAAGATTTTAATCAATTTATAAATAAACCCACCCATTCTCTATAATAAAAATGTGACAACTAGCCCCGGCTGCATCTATATTCAATTATTATATAAAGTTGTTATTTCTGAAATATGAGTTGTGACTCTGCTGTGTCCTGTAGGTGGTGCATTTACCCTCGTGTGCTCAGGGACGTGTCCTTAGTGGACATGTCCACCACAGTTCTGGGCCAGAGAGTCAGTATGCCCATCTGTGTGGCAGCTACTGCTATGCAGAGAATGGCACACCCCGACGGAGAGACGGCCACTGCGAGAGGTCAGACACCAGTAACACTCTGGAGCTACAAGCTTCACAGTGACTGCAATTACTATAACTGACCACATGGTGGAACCATTAGTCTTTCCTACATACTGCAGTATCTCCTGCTCCCAATCACACTCAAATTACCCTTACAAAAATGGATCATGGCTCCCATAGTATGAGCTAATACTATAGTTTCAGTGTG